CCTCCGTCCCTTAAAACTTTGCCATCTTTCCTTTTTGGGACGTCCCAAAAAACTTTGCCACTTTCACTTTTAATCATTTATTTTGTGATTTCTCTTATTTCTCTCTCCTCTGCACAAACCTCAATCACACAGTTTTTACTTTATTATTCTCCGTGCCGGTCAACTTTGGCAAAGTTTTAAGGGACGGAGGTAGTAGTTCATCTCTACATTGTTGTTTCGTTCATGGAATAACAGATTTAGTGCAATGTGTCTTGTTGCTTGATTGTCACAATAGAGAGGTGCATTGGCCGACGTGCTTTGTTCAAGGGTGTTCGCCTGAACATCCAAAATTTTGAAAATAAGATGTAAAAATACATGTATAGAATTGATATAATAATTTATATAGTGTATTTTTTATACAATGTTTGTTACCCTTGACCTTTTTTCCTAGTTTTTGTGGTTGAAAAAATTTCATTCCTTCAATTGTGGCATCGAAAAACATTATTGTTCAATATTTTAATCATAATTTTTTTGAATACCCAATTTCCGGTTGCAAGATCCGGCCACTAGAGAGGTCATCTTGATGAGGCGCACCTTTCGATATTTTTCTTTTAACTTTTCGGGCACTTTTGAAAATCGTAGTTACTTTTAACGGTCTTTTTCAGACGTTTTTAACGGCGTGACCCTCTTGTGATAACGGAACTAAAACACACGAACCACTTTGATAAAGAATGAAACACACGACCCTATCTGAAAACGGGCCCAACCACAAGTACCTTTTCCGTACTTTTCCCTATAATATTAATAATAAAATAAAAATTAATTCAGAATTTTATAATGATAATAGTAAAATACAGTGCAAGTCATTCAAGTAATACATTAAAATTATCAAAATGATATGAAATCTAACACTTTGAGCTTAAACTAGATTTGTTAAGTTTTTCATGTTAAAATAATGTAATTTCTAACATTAAAAAGTACTACCTCCGTCCCTCAATCAAAATCACAGTTTGACTCTTGAGTCAAACTTGTTAACCTTTGATCACTAATTAGTCGATATTAACAATATGTTATCAGAAAAAAAATATTTTATGTGCTTCATTGTAATATGATAGTATGTATTATTCATATATCAATTTATTATAAATCGTATAAGTATATATTTATAGATCTTATCCCTATTATGGGAAAGTATTCAAATTTTACCTTGGCTATAAAAGTTATTGTTGAGAAATGAGATTTTGAGAAAGAATATTTTGAGAATGGGCTATTTAGAGAAATGAATTATTAAAACACTATGAATGCTATTTTAGGTATAACCATTATTTTTGTAAGGATGTATGTTACTCTTATATTGAGAAATAAATTATTTAATGTAGTTAGTATTATTTAAATTATGAATGTAAACTTCGATATATGCAAGTTATTTTTGAGTATAAAGGCTATTTAAATATTAAAAGTTGTTTTGAACAAGAAAAAGTATGGTGGAAATTGTATGTATTTTAGAGAGTACTATAAAGTATTTTGGAATGTTTTTGACATGTCATTTGAAGACGAAAATGTTTTTCAAATATATATATATATATATATATATATATATATGTGTGTGTGTGTGTGTGTGTGTGTGTGTGTGTGTGTGTGTGTAGGAGAGGGTTCAAATACAAAGAGGTCTTCCCATGCAAAGTGAGAATTATTCTCGTGCGTTCATTTTGAGATCTAATGGCTCAAAATGAGCCAAAAGTGAACTAAATTTGATAAAAAATGCGGTGGCAATTTCATAATTAAAACGAAGTTTTTTGCCATCGCGAAAAAGTGAAACAGAAACACGCAAAAGTGCAAGGCAGAGAAGAAAAAGTGCAATTGTTCGCACTTTGCACGGGAGAACTTCTTTTTATTTGATCTCTTCCCTGTATGTATATATATATATATATATATATATATATATATATATATATATATATATATATATATATATATATATATATAAAGAGGTCTCTACATGCAAAGTGGGAAAATCTCGTGCATTCATTTCCAGATCTAATGGCTCAAAATGAGCCAAAAGTGAACTAAATTTGATCAAAAACGTGGTGACAAATTCATAATTAAAATGAAGTATTTTGCCACCGCGAAAACGTGCAACAGAAATACGCAAAAGTGCAACGTGGTGAGAAAAAAGTGCAATCATTCGCACTTTGCATGAGAGAACCTCTTTTTATTTGATCTCTTCGCTATATATATATATATATATATATATATCCAATGATAACTGATCAAATACAAATCATGCTTAAAGTACTAACCTACAAACTCAATAATATGTATCACTTTGAACTTCAATATGCAGTAAAAATAATGTAAAGATGCAGGGATGCGATCACATACATACTAGTCCTCCCATTCAAATGATTTTTACATTATTTCTATTACACATTGAAGTTCAAAGTGTTTTATATTATTCAAGTCATAAAATAACAGTTTCATATTTACATTATTTGTATTGCATATTGAAGTTCAAAGAGTGCATCTTTACATTATTTGTACTGCATATTGAAGTTTAAAATGTTGCATATTATTGAGTTTGTAGGTTAGTAAATTAAGCATGGTTTGTATGTGATCTCACCCCTATATCCAATTATATTATTTTACGAGGTTGGGTAGGACTTACTAGCATTTCTGACTTTTTTTTAACCCGGTTGGCAAACCACCAAAATCTGTGGGGCAAACGCCGGGGAACATTTGCCAAATTTTATTAAAAAGTAGCAATGAAATACAAAAAAAGAGGGAGGTCAAACCAAAACCTTTTCAGAAAATGCATACCCTTTTGAGATAGAGAAATACAAGCAATGATGAAGAAATAAAAAAGAAATTGGGAGGACCACACATGCTCGCCGGAGTTTCCAGATGAGTGTCCCTGGAAACGAGGTATGCACCGCTCTCTACTCTGAGGCCGCAATATCCTGTTGCTCGTTCCCCTGGATGTCGGACGAATGATGACCAGACGCAAGGAGGACTGATGAACCATGTTCGATGAATCCAAGGAGTTCCGTTGTCGCGACGCTGAAAATCCGATTCTCTCTCCTTGATGCTGCTCCAGAAGGATCTCCTTGCCTTAGAAGAGAGTTGGAACTCTCACTCTGGAAGCCTTCCAACGACGGTTCCCTTGCGTGTCTGGGTTGAATAAAAGTCTAAAATTGAAATTAAAAAAACTAAATTGAAAATAGAAAAGATTAAAAATGAAAAAAAACAAATACTTGGGACATAAATGATATGTGAGGCACAAAAGTGAACCATACATCACGCCCCAGACCGCATCTAAGCGCGTGTACAACCGTCATATGATCAGATGACGTCACTCGCAAGTCAACCTCACTTAATCATACAAGGCGTTCATGAACATTGTTCATACCATACTCAATAAGTAAACATACATAACAACATCATATTATAGATTGAATGAATAGCGGAAATATTCAATAGTCAATCATGGGCCACATATGGCAAAACGTGGGCTCACAGGCCCTAAACAAAGTATTCATTACAAAAATATCCATGAGCATAGTTTGTAGTTTGAAACAGTAAAGGAAGCACGAACCACGTCTTCCTTGAGATTCTCTCCACCCGTGAAAAGGTGCATGTAGCAAGCTCTAGCTTCAACCTGAAATGGTGGGAGCCCCGAAGGGCTCAGTACGCGAATATCGAGCGAGCAGCAGACTAAATGTAGAATAACTAACGTTTCAAGTATAAGATCGGCAATTTACTCCGACCATAATTTATCCGTGACAAAATGTTTGTCACGGATTATATCCGTGACAAACAGCCTCCGGTGACCGGCAATTTACTCCGGCCAAAATTTATTTATTTCCGGGCACTTTGTCACGGACGGATCCGTGATAAAATCCATGACAAAATTCAAAATAATATTTGTCACGGATCCGTCCGTGACAAAGTCCATGACAAACCCTAATAATTAATATTCCAGCGGTCACGTTATTAATGGTGTACGAAAAGGTATTTGTCGCGGATATACCCGTGACAAATTCCGTGACAAATTATTTTAAATATGGCAGTGCATTTTCATTCGATTGATACGAGTTAAAATTCAGTCAAAGTAAAATACAATATCTGTTGAAAGATTGAAGAATGTAATTTATCAATTTATCATTTTCTCTTTTTATGCAAATAAGGTACTCCCTCCATCCCGAAATAAATGTCCTGCTTTCCTTTTCGATCCGTCCCAAAATAATTATCTTCTTTTCTCTTTTGGCAATAATGGTTGGCCGATATCAATTCACCTTTTTCTACTCAAATCTCAACCACAACTTTTACCTTTTCAACAACTTTCTTAAAACTTGTGCAAAAGCAAACAAGACAATTAATTCGGGACGGAGGGAGTATCATTTACCCGCCTAGCCTATTCTGGATATTTTTAAAAAAAAATCAAAAAAGTTTGTCACGGATTTATCCGTGACAAATGAGAACCGGCGTTGCTCTGGTGCCACGTTTTGGCATGAAAAGTAGCCGTGACAAATCCGTGACAAACTTTGTCACGAATCCAGATCCGTGACAACGATTTTGTCACGTCAAAATTGTCACGGATAATGTCCGTGACAAAGTCCGTGACAAAGAAACTTTGTCACGAATTTTTTGAACTGCTGCCGTGACAAAGTCCGTGACAAGCCTCTTATTTTTTTGTAGTGTCAAATAATTGAAATAAGTCATACGTAATACTCCCTCCGTTTCTGAAACATGTTCCACCTTTCCTTTTCGGGCAGATTCAAAATTAAGTTCCACTTTCAAACATTTCCTTATTTGGCAAATTATCTACATCAAAACAGTGTCAAACAGTGTTCAAACAGTGTCAAACAGTGTTCAAACAGTGCCAAACAGTGCACTCCACAGTAAAGTCAAATTTATTTTCTTAATATGTGTGAAGTCAAATGTGGAACTTGTTTCAGAAACGGAGGGAGTATATTTTACTCCGTATGTAAATATGAAAAATGTTTTAAAATATTGGGCATTGATAATTATAAAATGAGAGCAACAGAAGTACGTGTCGAACGAACATAGAATGTTTACAATATGTTTAAAATTACAGAATGATTGCAACAGCGTAAAGAAAAAATTGAAAATAATAATCTCAACTATTGCCGGTCCGTTAACGATAATCCCAATTATTGATTATTTTTGTATAATTCCAGCTATATGGACTGTCCGCCAATAATGGTTCATGATATGACTGCATATTACCTGCTCTAACAAGTGAATTTTTAATAGAAATTAAACGTAAAAATTCAAATTTGGGATTATTTTTAGGGATTGTCTGCTATATCTTTTTAGAAACTATAGGAATTTATTTATAGTTAGTCACGTCGGACCATTATTGGCGGAAGGTCCCTAAAGTTGGGATTATTCTGAAATAATCGATAGTTGGATTATTATGAGAGGATGTCCAATAGTTGGAAATGTTACGATCAATTTTTCCTAGCGTAAAAACAAGGGATATTTACTAATATATGACTAAAACATTGACAATTTCAGAATATATGACTACTACTTTTGTACATCCCAAAATATGATTAAATATTAGTTTTATACATACGAAACACTATCATATTGGGAAGAAAAAAGATAGAAGTCATATTTTGGGAAACACATTAAATTTTAGTCATATGTGGGTTAATTTTCTCTAAAAACAATGAAAACTTTTAACTATGTCAGATTTAGCGTATATATAGGCTATCTTAGTCCTGGTTTAGTTTGAGTTAGTGATCATCCCATTTATTTTCGATGAAAGACTCACTCTTGTTTGGGTCGATCAACTATCCCATTCATCATCCATGAAAGACTCACACTTAAAACACATAAAGCCACTAACAAGAACCGACACCACTAAGGTAACAACCACAATGATATTTGCAATTATCAATTTCTTTCTCATATCGGCTAGTAATCCCGCTCTGCAAGAATCACAATTAAAGCAAAGTTTGCTTTGGTCATTGCTCCACTTCGCACAATCACCCTCTACCGCGGCTGTGGTTTGATTGCTTGTTGCCGCGGCTGTCCAATTAGTTGGGCTCACAAAAGTGAAGCCACATTTTGAAGGTGGCACACAACATCCAGACTGTCAAATAGGCCGACCGTTATTATATGTGCAAGCCAAACACACCGCATATCCATATGTGAAGGAAGGGAAAAGTTTATTAATTAATTCCTTATTTACAATACCACATGAGGAGAATGCACAATTTGAGTACGATATGCACGAATAAATTATAAGTCAGCAACTGAGCTAAAATCGGCTGATCCTATTCTAGCTCGGTGTATGTTTGGTAAACATAAGCTTCAACCTTCTAGGTTTTGTATTGTTTAAAAAGTCTCTACAAGTTTCTAGTTATATTGGAATGATAATTTTTAAGAGCTTTTCTCAAATTAAAAGATCTTTTTTGAGAAGTTATAACAGATAGCATCAGGGAGAAAATCAGTTGTTTTTAATACTAATTTGTCACAAAAGTTTGTTAGCCAAACAGAACTAAATCAAGTAGTCAACTTTTTGTGAAAAGCTTTTTGTGAAACTAAAGGTTATTGAAAAGCACATAAAAGTACGACGTATATTTTCAGTTAGTTGTGTCAAACATACCTTATATATTGTATGTGCCAAATTTCGAGTTCTTCCTAAACTGGAATAGGACGAATATAAGTGATTTGATGGAATATATATACCTGTATGTGGGTCAGGTGTGCAGCGAAAAGTTGTTGAGACAAGGAGTAAGTGTGATTCAAGTCATCGCAAGAACCCGAAGGAGCAATAAAAGTAATGACTCGATCCCAGGTATACATGCCACTGACCTTATGGCGAAGCCAAGACGAGAAGTGGTCAAAGCGGTATTGGACGTAACCCGGCCTATCAGGCTCCCGCTCAGGGGAGCCTGAGTATTTGGAGACGAGAGACAGGAAAGTAATAAACCCGATCATGAATAACAAGGCAAAAGGCATAACTAAGCAAGGCAGACCAGCGCATTTGGAGTCCTTACACATGACTCCGCACCAGCTAAAGAAGCCTATTACGAACATAGCAAGTCCGTAGAGAAAGAACAGAACTGGGAGGGGTTTCATCTTGGCACAAGAATTGATAAGCATATAAATGGACATCCCAAAGATGGGGATAGATAGGAATAGGGGAATAGCGGATATCCATATTGTTAACTTACGTTGAGATATTATTCTTGCCATTTCTCAAGTAATTTGTTTTCTCAATAGGGGGGAGTGGAGACTATCTCGATAGAATGCGTTTTTTATTGATTGGTGCTGGTCGGCCCTATGCATTTCTTGTTCTCCATATTTATAAGGTGCATGGTTGAAATGCTACACATGCATTTGACCGGTCAATTCATTATTTCATGGTTTATTTATATTTAAATTTTTTTTAAAAAAATCAAGTAATATTAGTTCAAGAAAATGGTGCACGAAAACGTGACTTGATAATTATTAGTAACTATAATTTCGTTTAAAAGTATACATCACAGTGACTACACGTAGTCACTGTGATATAGTTTAAACACAATACATTTTTATATATTCATACCTTTTTAGTAATAATATTTTATGAAAAGCCTCTTAAATTATTCAATTGCAATATTCTAATTAATTTATGTGTACAAGGTATGGTACCTTGAGTAGATCATAGAATTTGTCTATTTATATTCAGTATATATGAGAATATATAGGGGTGGGATTGGGTAATTGTAATTGGGTAGGGATGGGTATAAAAGTCATATAAGTCTTTGTTTGAAATTTTTCAAAAGTAGTCCTATTTTTGTCTTATTTAGTACGGAGTATTATTGCTGTTACAACCCCATAACTTAAAATCTTATTTTTGTAAATAAATTATTTGAGTAATATTTTAAAAAATTCTCAATTCCTAAACTAGGGTTACTTATTGCTTTTTGTCTCATTCGGTTTTAATATTGACTTCTCAATTATACTTTCACTCATTTGATGATAGTATACGTTTTTCAAAAAAGTAAATGATTTGGGAGAAAATGTAAACAAATGTGGCAAAGGACCTGCATGATGTTCCCCAGCTTTCAACTTTCCAGGCCATACACCACGTCCAATAACCAGGTACTCCGAGAGGCGTACTATGTGACGTAGCGAGGAGAATAAGAGCCCGTTTGGTAACATTAAAATCGGCTGATTCGGCTGATTCTGTTGAAACTTATGAAGTTCTGGTTGAAGTGGTTGCATTGACTGATTTTGCTGATTTGAGAAAAAAATATTTTTAAAATAAATTTTATTAATAAAATAAAGAAAAAATTATATGTAAAATTAGCTAAAATGATCTTCCACAGTAACTTCAGCCAATACAGTCAGAAAAGTAATTTTAACCTTACTTTTTCTTATTATTACACAATTCAATGCGCGAAAACAAAAGTTACGTGTTTGATGAAAATGTTGTTTGATATGTCCAATAAGCCGGAAACCAGTGTCACCAAACGGCCTCTAAATAAGCCTGATTCGATACAAAATAAATTTATTACATTTTCAAAATACTTTGGTCACAGTGACGTTTGTCACTGTAGCATGTCACCGACTCACTATTAGTGACGGATCTAACATTTCTATTTTGGATGTTCAAAATTAGTTTACAATTAAATTTTTAAACGCAAATATTGATGTGTGATTAAACTTTTAAGCACGAATATTGTTATGTGATTAAACTTTTAAAGACAAATATTGTTCTGTGTAATAACATTACACATTTATCTTTGACAAACAAAAAATAGCTTATTGGAAAGTCACCAATTTTTTCAAAATGTTGATGAAGAAGAAATTCGCTTATGCATTAATATTTCGCTTAGAAATGTGTACGATCTCATGGAGTAAAAATTACTCACTCCATCCCAATTTGATAGTTTCATTTCTTTTGGGCACAAGTTTTAATAAAGTAATTGAAAAGTTAAAAGTTGTTGTTAAGATTTGAGTATAATAAAGTAAAATGATATGAACCACATCTTTCTTTCCAAAAGGGAAATATAAGATTATCATTAAATTAGTCGGTACCTTGAATTGTCATATTCTCAATTTCTTGATTGGGAATCTACTTTACCACCGACTACAGTACCCTGACGTTGTTGTACAAAAACATTAGAAATGTGTAGGTGAAATAAAAGGATAAGATTTCAAAACACTTCCTTTCGTCATTTGTGATCTCATAGAGTATTTGAGTGTTTAGAAATGTGTGCCACTGCCCGCACCTTTGATAATGTTTGATAACTTGTTAAATAACTATTAAAGATATCAATTATTTTTTAGCTTCAATTATTATTATTATTATTATTATTATTATTATTATTATCATCATCATTATCATCATCATTAGGGAAAGTTCCCGATATAGGATTAAAACATTTTGAAAATTCCAAAATAGGACTGTCATGTTTTTTATTCCTAAAATAGAAGTAATTACTGCCAAGTTTAGAAAGTACTGCCATGTTTGAAGTCTTGTACTGTCAAAACATGGCAGTAATTAGTCATATTTTGAGAATAAAAACATGACAATCCTATTTTGAAATTTTCAAACCTTTTTAGTCCTATTTCGGATAATATTCTCTTATTATTATCATAAGTATTATCATTATTAGTACTATTATTAGTACTATTTTTATTATTATTATTACCACTACTATTATTATTATTATTTTGACATAAGAAGTACATAGTATATTTTAATAAATGCACAAAGAGGATAGATACCACGCTTGAGCGGCAGCGATGCCGCCTGCAGAGGGACACGAAGCGGCGATTGTTCCAACTTTTCAGTCATATGCGGCGGCGGTAAGGGATCTCCCCCCTGGCCAACGTTTACACTCTCATCCGCTCTTCTGCGATGTCGACTTCAACGGACTCCCAGTGAAGTCACCGAGCAGATTCAAAGGAGTTCCAGTTGTGTCCTTCACCGACAACGATATTCAGGTTCTAGCCTCTAAATTCCGTTACGTCCTTGTTGGCACCTTCCCTTTGAAACGCCCTCCCCTAGCTGCGATATAGAAAGCTATGGATGCGATAGGATTTTCCAAACCTTACTCTGTCGGGCTACTTCAATCGCACAAGATTCTGTTTAATTTCCAAGTTGACTGTGATTTTCAAAGATTTTGGTTTAAAAGCACCTGGGACTTCTTCGGATCTGCGATGAAAGTTACCAGGTGGACGCCCTCTTACTCCGATGCCTCTGATTCCCCTTTGTGTCCCGTTTGGGTGGCTCTGGAAGGGCTCTCGATCCACTTCCATGATGCTAGAGCCTTTTTTTCTATTGTTGGCCTTTTATGCAGACCTCTCAAAGTTGACGCACCTATTGCTAACTTCTCAAGACCAACAACGGCTAGAGTTATGATTGAACTGGATATTTCTAAAGAACTCCCTACCAAAATTTGGATTGAATGTGCTGATTCAAGTTTTTTTCCAAACAATTGTGTATGAACAATGACCGGTATTCTGCTCTTGTTGTTCTCCATTAGGATATACTGACAGAAATTGTTCCCAAGTTTCCAAACCAATGATGCTTGATTTGGCTGAGGTCTCTAGAAACAAGGAATTAATTTCCCATGTACAGAATGCCCAGATTGACCCGGTTGATGTCTCAGAACATGCTAAAGTTGTTTTCCCTTTAGTAGTTGAACCTGGATTAGGCCTCACACCAGAGACTGTTTTAGCAGATGTTGTGGTCTCCCAGTCTATTTTTGAAAAAAGCAAATCTTTGCTCTCCAATGTTGATGCATACCTGTTAATTCTCATAAGTCATTAGATGCCTGTGAATTACAACCTACTGCTCTTGATAATTTAAATGTCCTTAAGCTCTCTGATATTGCAGCCAGTCACAAAGAGATTGGTATTGATATTGTCCATGTTGTTGCCCTCAAGTGAGCGTTAGTCTTGATATTGTCCCTAAAGATATTGTCCCTAACGAAGCTGCCACAGTTTATGTCCCTAAAGAAACGGTCCCTATAAATAAAGCCCTTGTTGCAGGTCATGCAGATAATATCGACATTCGACAAACAATTTCTTCTTTATCGGCCACTAGTTGATAAAGAAGAGACCGATAGAGATCTAAAAAATTTAGATTCTATGAATAATAATGATATATAGTTTGTGTCCCCTTGGTGTTGCGAGCAATTTTGGAGAAATAATACTCCATGATATATAGTTTTTTTAAGAAAATAAATAAAATCAATTATGACTCATTGACACATTTACCAAATCAATAATGATTCTAAATGATGATTGTTTTTAAATAATTAGGATTTAAATGAAACAAATCATAACTTTGTCTTGAATATTTAAACGATGGCTTATTTTAGATAAATAAATATATACGGAGTATATGGGACAAACTATTTTTGTCAATAACTCCAAACGTTTTGAATTGTTTTGTGTAATAAGCCTATATTGTAATCGGTTGTCAGGGATTAGTCACGGACACTTTGGTGACAACAAGCCGCGCTTTCACTTACGTAATAAAGTTTTGTGAGGGATCTCATCTGTTACATATCCCTTCGCCAGATTTGTTGAAACTGGCGTGTTATGTACTGAATTTCTCAAGGGTTAGTCCCAGATGAAAATTTTAGGGTTATGTTCTTGAAAAACAGTTTTAGATCCAATTCAATTTGCTGAAAGTTCCTTGCCAAATTATATCCCTGAAATCCCTAATAAAAGTATTAAGGGCCAAACCCATGACAAATATCCTTGACAAAGAATGTATTTTTTGTAAACAAAACTTGGTTGTATTTGAGTCATTATTAAATTTAACTAATTTATTGAATTGACATTTGTTCCGATATTGGAATTTTATCAATATGGGACCTGAAAGATGGACGAATTATCAATCTGGGACCTGAAAGATGAAATGTATCAGTATAGGACTCGAAAGATGAAAAACCATCAATGTAGGACCTAATATTTCATAGGTTTTGATTTATTTAATTTTTTTTATTAATTCCATTGCTAATATTTGGTGAAATTTTCTTCATAAAAGTTTATTAGTTTAATAAATAAAAATATTACTTAAATTTTTTAAAATAAAAATAATAATAATATTTATGAAAACTTAGGTCCTAAATTGATAGTTTTCAATCATTCCGGTCCTATATTGATAATTTTCCATCATTCAGGTCCTATACCGATACATTTCATCTTTCAGTTCCCGAATTGATAGTTCGTCTATCTTTCAGATCTCGGATTGATAAAATTCCTTTCATTATATAACCCGCATGAGTCATTAATTCAGGACCTGAATTAACACTAGTGA